CCCCCAATTTTTATTACATTTTCTGATACATATTGATGTACTTATGCTACGTAGAAAGTTTGAGCTGATTCCGACTTCAATTTTTCGAGTTACGGCCATCTTAAAAAATGAGCCAAAATCTGAAAAATACCCAAGGCTATAGCCCATGGATTTTTCAAAAAATGGCTCCGAAATCACCCCCAATTTTTATTACATTTTCTGATACATATTGATGTCCTTATGCTGTATAGAAAGTTTGAGGTAATTCTGACTTCAATTTTTTGAGTTACAGCCATTTTAAAAATGAGCTAAAATCTGAAAAATACCCAAGGCTATAGCCCATGGTTTTTCCCAAAAAATGGCTCCGACATCACCCCCAATTTTTATTACATTTTCTGATGCATATTGATGTACTTATTCTACCTAGCAAGTTTAAAATAATTCCGACTTCAATTTTTCGAGTTACGGCCATTTTAAAAAATGAGCCAAAATCTGAAAAATACCCAAGGCTATTATAAATGGTTTTTTTTCAAAAAATGGCTCCGAAATTACCCCAAATTTTTATTACATTTTCTGATACATATTGATGTACTTATGCTGTGTAGAAAGTTTGAGCTGATTCAGACTTCAATTTTTCGAGTTACGGCCATCTTAAAAAAAATGAGCCAAAATCTGAAAAATACCCAAGGCTATAGCCCATGGTTTTTTCCAAAAAATTGGCTCCGAAATCACCCCCAATTTTTATTACATTTTCTGATACATATTGATGTACTTATGCTACGTAGAAAGTTTGAGCTGATTCCGACTTCAATTTTTTGAGTTACAGCCATTTTAAAAAATGAGCCAAAATCTGAAAAATACCCAAGGCTATAGCCCATGGTTTTTTCCAAAAAATTGGCTCCGAAGTTACCCCCAATTTTTATTACATTTTCTGATACATATTCATGTACTTATGCTATATAGAAAGTTTGAGCTGATTCCTACTTCAATTTTTCGAGTTACAGCCATTTTTAAAATGAGCCAAAATCTGAGGCTATAGCCCATGGTTTTTTTCCAAAAAATGGCCCTGAAATGTTCCTCAGTCTAAATTAATGAGCATGTGATGTATACATTAAAATAATTATATTTGCTGTTTTTTTTCTCTCTGTCTCTCAGTTATGATATTCAAGGTGCCATTATCCAGTCTTTATTATTTTCCCTGGCTCAATCTTGTGCTACTTTTGTACTCTCAGGAGGAATGATCATTGGAGCTTATGCTTACACTTCTCCTGGTACTGTCTATTATGCTGACATTAGCAACATCTTCAAGTAAAAGAGAGAGAGAGTTAATTTTAAAATACATGTACATGTACTCCAAACCCACTTTTAGTACTAATTTGAGTGAATTTTTAGAGACTTTTAAAATACTAAATTACAGTGATGACACATAAATCATTAACGTTCTTAAAATGTTAAAAGAACAAATTACTAAGTTTATTAGGGCCAATTTTTCGCTACATTAAAAACAATAACATTAGTGCACCTAATTAAAAGTATAAACTGAAATTATTTCTTTCTCCTCCAGAGCTATCGGTGCAATGCTGTACGCTGGATGGTTGTTTAAGGAACTCATCCGCTCACTGCCTGATACCCAGTCGGCACAAATAGCAGCTTCAAGAATATTAGCACTGCTGGAGGAAAAACCCTCCATTAACATACCTAACCAAGGAGTGGATATCGCCACAAAAGTACGTATACATGTACATCATTAACATTGTTGCCTATGATTCATCTACAAGGCCCAGATTATTTAGTAACTTTTACAATTTGTAAAAAATATTAATTTGATCGGAATCACCTCAAACTTTCTACACAACATAACAATAATGTCTTTACTACTGTACATGTACATGTATGTACGACACTTGTAGAAGAGGAATTAATGATTATTATTTTAATATTGTAGTTTCAAGAAGATTACGCTAAGCTTGCATTAGACGACATTCACTTCTCTTACTTGTCTCGTCCTGGTGTAGTGGTACTACCAGGCCTGAGTCTCACTGTTAAACCAGGAAAGACTCTCGGCATAGTAGGACCAAGTGGATCAGGAAAGAGTACCATACTGTCACTTGCAGAGAGATTCTATGATCCTGATCCTGATTCAGGATCAATAGAATTCAACAATATCAATATCAATATCTTTGAGATCTCATCTCTCCGGAGACAGATGAGTCTAGTACCACAGGACCCAGTTTTATTTGACATGTCTATTTCTGATAACATTCGTTATGGGGCTTTATTTAGAAATGACATTACTGAAGAGGAAGTCATAGAAGTGGCTAAAGTTGCTAATATTCACGAGTTCATTATGTCACTGCCTCATGTGAGTTTAATGAATAATGTGGTACATGTACATGTATACAGACTAGCCTCTATATAATGGACACTGTGTCTCTGTTATACAGAGGTGTCCTTTATGTGGAGGTTATTTTATACAGTATAAGGAATGTAATTGGTACACTAGGTGCTGTCCGTTAAATGGAGGTGTACGCTATAGAGAGTGTCCATTAAGAGAGGCTATACATATCAAACTCCTATAGTTTTATTTGCCTTGCAAGCTAAAAATACTTTCTAGTTTGATGCATCACATATTAAGAATTGATTATTATAGGGTTACCAGACTATGGTTGGTAGTAGAGGCACTCAACTAAGTGGCGGCGAGAAGCAGCGAGTAGCCATTGCTCGTGCTTTAATTAGAAACCCTAAAATCCTCCTCCTTGACGAAGCAACATCAGCTCTTGACTCCGAAAATGAGAAAGTGGTTCAAGAAGCTCTTGATAAAGCAAGGAGAGGTCGTACTACCATTATCATAGCTTACCGACTGTCTACCATATATGAAGCTGATTCTATTGCTGTCCTTCATGAGGGAAGTGTTGTGGAGCAGGGAACTCATGAGGAACTGATGAGATTGCAAGGACACTACTACCTAATGAACAGTGTCTCACAGCAGCAGAAGGAGGAGGAGGAGGAAGACGACATTTTTGTTTGATTTATTATAATTTTTAATTGGTTTTCACTCACTATAATTATTAAATCTAGCTATTGATTTTTATGATGGAATCATTATACGTCTATAACAGTTTTTTAAATATTTAATTTTACTGATATCAATTTACTATGAAACTATGAATGAACAAACTAAACCAACTAACTTTACACTTGCTATCTTAAAACTTGTTCAAAATTCACATGTTCTATTTTTGCATTTCACTGTTGTGTTATACAGTACTTCTGGTACAACTTAAGTATTGTCAAGAGTAGATAATGTCTACTCTTAGTATTGTGAACAAGGCATTTAATATCATTTATCATTGTTAAAAGTTTGCATTAATATTAAGTTTTGGCAAAAAATTATCACTGACTTTAATCAATGTTGCATTGTTAACCTTTGCTAGTTCATGTCAATCATGTGCTACACTCAATAATACTATAGACCACACAAACAAGTTTATAAATATAATTAGGTTTCCTTTTACAGCAGTACATGTAATATTCATTAGGTGATAAACATTAGTTATAATAATAAACATAGTTTGATGCTATCAGTAATAATTCTAGTTATAGAGATAGGGAAATTAGTACATGATGACAGCTCAGCTAATTAGTACAATGGTACAATGGCAGTGAATAAGGACACTAGACTAGCAATGAAAGAGAAATACAATATCATCTATGACTTCCTTTTTCTCTCACTTTATCTTTTCCTAAGGCAGACATACACTTATGCAATCCTCTGATGTTTCTCTAGAGTCAATTAATCATTAATAATCATTATTTTGTTATTAGTTATAATCTCACTTATATATTCAGCAGCTGATGTCTCTTCCATTTCACCAGCAGCAATAGCTAGTTTTTTCCATGTTGCTTTAGTATCACTTCTAAGCTATTTTGCAATACATTCTCTGAGACATCGCTCAGCATTATGTAAATAATTAGTCTCAATAATCTTCAGATCATTATAAATCAGACCCAAGTAGAGACCAAGATCAAACCATCTTATAGTCTGAAAGTGACCATTTTTTAACACTCGTACAATATCTACCAGATTCCCGATAGTCAATATAACTATTATAAATAAATAAATAATGTTAAACCTACCTATACCTTTTTGTTGATCATCATCGGACTCACTGATCTGATCACCTTTTATAGTATAAGTGTCTCCTAATATTTCCTACAATAAAAAAATAATGTGTTAATTCTCACCTTAATATCACGTCCTCCTAATAGTGACAGGTTACTAATGTCTGATAATGATTCATTAGGTAGGATCTCTTTCAATTTTTCACCTTCAGTACCATCACACTTTACTAAAAACTCTTCTCTCTTGTCAATAGCAGACAGTATATCTTTTACACTATACACTGTCCTTTCTCTTGGTATATTCACAGGATAGGCTAGTTC